CTGAGGTCGGCACAAAACTTTCTGAAGATCTTACCATTGAACTGCGTTTCATTATCTGCAATCAGTACTCGCGGGATGCCAAAACACACCACCACGTTTCTCATGACCAAACTGCTTTGTATCCGCTTCTTTGATACTTGCCAATGCCTCAACTTCGACCCACTTAGTAAAATAGTCGGTTGTAGCAAAGAAGAATCGTCTGTTCCCTATGCCTCGCGCTAATGGTTCGACAATATCCAGGCCCCATTGGGCAAAGGGCCACGGGCTGGTGAGTGGAGTGAGAGTTTTGGTTGGCTGATGAATGAATGGAGCAAACCTCTAACATTTATCACACTTTTGTACGTACTGCTGAGCATCTTGTTGCATCCGTGGCCACCAATACCCGTGAGTGAGGGCTTGGTGCGCCAGCAACCTTCCGCCAACGTGGCATCCCCAAATCCCATCGTGAATTTCGTAGAGAACATTCTCGACTAGATTTGGATGCACACATAGAAGATAAGGGCCAAGATAGGAGCGTCTGTACAGCTTCCCAGATGATGAGATCCAAAACTGAGCTGACTTATGTCTGACTTTGTTGGCTTCCTTTTTGTCTTTGGGGAGAGTACCAGATTTTAGAAAAGCAAGTATTGGATCCATCCAGCTCGGCTCTACATCGCTGCAGAGGACTGGAGGTGCAATGCTTGGTTCTGGCACGAACTCAACCCGAACTTTTCTAGCATCTTTAGTATCCACTGATGAGCCGAGACAAGCCAGAGCATTAGCATGGCTGTTTTTGTCTTGACTAATTTGTTCCACTCGTATGGATTGAAACTTTTTGAGTAGGTCTTTGGCCTTGCCTGCGTACATAGCCATTCTTTCATCTCGTGTTTCATAGACCCCAGAAAGCTGGTTTACCACTAGTTATGAATCACTGAAAACAAGAAGCTGTTCTGCACTGAAGTGTTTGGCACTACGTAAGCCAGCCAATAATGCTTCGTACTCTACCTCGTTGTTTGAAGCCTTCCAACCGAGCCTAAGAGCTTGTTCCTAGATAAATCCTTCTGGTGAGATAAGTACTACTCCTGCCCCCGAGCCTCGGTTATTGGATGACCCGTCAACATAAAGCTGCCAGATGTTTCCAATAAAGAGTTTCCATGCTTCCAAAGGGCAGGGCTTTCCCTGTTTGGTGGTGTGTGGCACCTGTGTCGAACTCGGATTCCCCGACTCGGTACTCTAGGTATGAGCAAGTTCTGCGATGAAATCTGCTAAGACTTGGGCCTTGATCGCCGTCATGGGTTGATACCGAATGTCAAACTCACCAAGTTCTATTGCCCAGTTTGCTGTTTGGCCGGAGAAATCAGCTCGGCTGAATATAGATCTAAGGGTGAATTCGGTGAGGACGTTAATGGTATGCCCCTGGAAGTAATGTTATAACTTTCTAGAGGTGATAAGCAGCGCGTACGCTAACTTTTCCAATGGTAGATATCGTGTCTCGGCATCTAGTAAGGTCCTGCTAACATAGTACACTGGCCTCTGTTCCTTGTTCACTTCCTGAATTAATACTGCGCTTACAGCATGATCGGAGACTGCTAGATAGAGGTACAGCTCCTCTCTTGATTCTAGAGTGAACAGAAGAGGCGGTGTGCTGAGGTATCTTTTGAGACTTTGCAATGCTTCGGTACACTCGCAACTCCATTCAAACGCTGCCCTTTTCCTCAAAAGCTGGAAGAAGAGCTTCATCCGATCTGAAGATTTGCTGATGAACCGATTCAGGGCGGCTACCATTCCGACCAGTTTCTGCAGCTCTTTAGCCTTTGTTGGTACTTCAAGATCTTGTATTGCTTTTATTTGGTCCGAGTTCACCTCGATTCCTCTGTGAGTGACCATATACCCCAAGAACTTCCCTGTTCCTACCCCAAAAGCACATTTCGAGGCATTGAGGTGAAGTTGATGGTTTTTCAGGATGCCAAAAACTTCTCTCAAGTCTGTAAGGTGGTCTGTAGCGAGCTTGTTTTTTACTACCATATCATCTATATAAGCTTCCATGGTTTTCCCAAGTTGGTCATTGAACATCCGAGTGATCATCCGCTGGTAGGTTGCTCCGGCGTTCTTCAGGCCGAACGGCATCACTTTGTAGCAGTAAATTCCTCTCAGAGTGATAAATGTTGTCTTTTCTTGATCCGGACCGAACAGTGGTATCTGGTGATAGCCGCTATAAGCGTCCAGAAAGCTCATGCGCTCATGCCCTACTGTTGAGTCTACTAGTTGATCGATATGAGGCAGCGGAAAGCTATCTTTAGGGCAGGCTTTGTTTAAGCAAGTGAAGTCAATGCAAACTCTCCATTTTCCGTTCTTCTTTTTGACTACAACTGTGTTGGACAGCCATTGAGGGTACTGAACTTCTCTGATTGCTCCCGATGCTTGAAGTTTTTCAACTTCGACAATTACTGCTTCAGTGTGCTCAACCGAGGATTTCCAACTTTTTTGTACAACGGGCCGAGCAGAAGGGTTGATGTTGAGCTTGTGGCAAGCAAATTCTGGGTCCAACCCTGGAGTATCATATGCTGACCATGCGAATACCTCCATATTTTCCCTCAGTAGTTCCAGTAGCTGAAGTTTCTCATCAGCGCCTAGCGAGGTGCCGATAAGGAAGTACTTTTCTGGATCATCCTCTTTTACCAGGACTTTCTCCAAATTCTCTACTATCTTTTCCTCTGGGGCTCCCCCTACATCTTCCAAGACTGGTTGTTCGGCCACTTCCACTGTCTGTACCTGATTGCAGAGTTGCTTGGCTTTTAATGCCGCCATGAAACAATGTTTAGACGCAACTTGATCCCCTGAGATCTGCTCTACTCCGTGTTCCATTGGAAAACGGATGAGCTGGTGGTAGGTTGAAGGGACCGCCTCCATTTGATGAATCCATGGACGGCCAAGTATGGCGTTGTAAGGGGATGGTGTATTAATAACTAGGAACTCTATCTGGAGGGTTTTTGTTCCTGCCACGACTGGCAACACTATTCTGCCAAGCGTCCATTCTGGCTATGAATTGAAGCCAACTAACGGAGCTGCCGCTCGGGTGAGGTGCTGCTCGGAGAGACCAAGCTTTCTGAACAAGTCATAATACAATATGTTTACTGCACTGCCTTGATCTACCAAGACTCGTTTTACGTCAAATCGTTTCCCAATTCCCACAGTTATAATTAGTGCATCAGTATGTGGGTACTGTATGCCTTCTAAATCCTTTCTAGTAAACGAAACAGTGCACAAGGGGGATTTGGGTGCCGTGCGTACCTTTTTCAATGCAAGCTCTACTGACATGACCTGTTAGATTTGCACAGCCTTAGCAATCTCTTCTCTCAGTGTTTCCTCAGGTTCCTGAGTCGCTGTCCCATGGATCACATTTATTATCAACCGAGGTGGGTGCTCAATATTTGGTTCTGGTGGTGGGTTCCCGGTTCGGTCACTTTCTTATCCTGATCAATGTAATCCCAGAGGTGCCTAGCTGCTACCAAGTCCTCCAAGTGTTGTTTTAGTGCCCTGGAGTTCTGAGTCATGTGCCCCACGTCTTGGTGATAGGTGCATCTGAGCTTCTGATTGCGCCGAGCCGGATCTCCCAACATTTTCGGTGGCCAGACAAAGAAGGGCTCTCTCTTGATTTTTTCCAGGATTCGATAGATCGGCTCTTTGAATACGGTTATGACGGCTTCGTGAGATTTGGACTTATCCACTTCATTCACTGCGATCCCTCGGTGCTCTCCTCGATCTGTTCTCTTCTTGTGCCAAGCTGTTTGTTCTGCTGATGCTACCTCGATGGGGATCTGATCATCTTCGAGGCGAGCATACTGCTCAATCCTGGCACGCAAGTCTTTCAATGCTGTGGCCGGGCGCTTGGTAAGTGATTGTCTCAACTTACTTTCCGGGCACAGACCATGTTTGAAAGACAAAACGGCCATCTGCTCGCTGCACACATTTTTCTCCAGGTCGTTGTACTCTTCCCAATACCTCCTAGTGTAACTGCGCAGCGTTTCCTCCTGCTCCTTTCTGTAACAACCCCGGTCCATAATTAGCTACTAATTCGTAATTAAGAATGCTAACTAAGTGTTTAAAATGGAATTATGTGTTATTATTAATTGTGATATGAGCTTTGTAATAATTTGTGCATATCTATCTGATTTGAAAATTATTTGTCATGATTTTTACTTTGAATCTGAAATTGTTAGCCTAAATGCTTTCAGAAACCGAATTGAGCACATGGATTGACTAATTAGAATTTTTGGAACCATCTGAGAAGTTTTGTTAAAAACTGATTCAGTTTAGTAAAATCGCATGTGATTAAATTTAGCCTTAATTGGAACTATTTTTGAATAATTGAATTTTGTGCTAACCTTGATTAATTAAGGTTACTTGTGTTTGATTTAAATGATGCATGATCGGCACCTAATCTAATCCTATCCATGATCCAAGATGTGATTGAGTGTATGATGTGTTGAGGCATTTGGTGATATTGAATGTAGAGGATTAAAACTCTTGTGGGTGTGTTGGAATAATGCATGTGTGTGCACGTGTATTGTGCTCAATGTGAGAGTGTGTGTGTTGTGTATATTCTGCTGAGAGTTAAGGGAATGTGATATCATTCATTTGGCTTCATTGAGTTCATCAATGTCTTGAGCTAGAGAGAGAGATAACTCATTCTTGAGAGAGAGGTTTGTTTTTGTGCTAGAGATTGAAGAAATTAGGAGGATTCATCTCATATTTCTAAAATTTAAGCTTTGGGTAAGGATTCTATGTCTAATTTCTGTAGCTATTCCTCCATGCATCATGTATTAAGAAGATTATTGAATCATCTATTGGAATTTGAAATGAAGATGGGTTTTGAGCAAGAAAGTGGCTTGTATGCATGTTTATGGAAGATTATACCTTGTTCATTCATGTTTTGGGTTTTGGTCTTGAAGGCCTTGCATGCATGTGAGCTTTAATCATGTCCATGGTTTCAGAATTCATGAGTTTCTTGATCACCAATTGCATGTTATGAAAACCATGAAAAGAGTTGAAATATCGCATGAAGGAATTTTGATTCAAATCTTTCAAGAATTGATGAGTTTTTGAATAAAAGATGTTTTAAGGGTCTTGTATTAGAGTTTTTTAAAGCTATTTTATGTATTTGATCAAATCATGCAAGACCCCAAGTTTTGGAAGTTGTTTGGAAGCCATTTTTGTTAAGCTTGATGCCCAGAAATTTACAGTTGGCTCGAGCGAAGAAGTGGTGGCTCAAGCCAACATTACGAGCTCTCAGAATTTTGAACTCTGCAGAAGCTGGCTCGAGCGAAGGAGTTTTGGCTTGAGCGAGCTCTATTTTTGCCTTCTGCTGGCTCTAGCCAAGAAAAGATGGCTCTAGCCACCAACTTATTTTCAGCATGTTTTCAAAGATGTTTTAAGTACATATCTTCACTCCCATCTATTTATGGGCATTCTTAGGCATGATTTATGAGCCGTTAAAGATTAATAAGCTAAGAACAACATAATTAAGTGAATTAGAAAATATGTGTTGAATCCGAGTATATGGGCAATATGAACAAGTTATGTAGCATGAAATGAATAGGAAATTAAAGAAAGAAAGCTAAGCCATGTATGACCACATGAATGAGTAATAATGAGACATGTTTTGTGCTATGTACATTTATGTTTGTAGGTCAAGACTCAAAGACTGACCAACCATTTCTAGAAGCCCTCTGTGAGTAAAAATGTTGTAAAGCTATGTTAAATTATAATTATTTTCTGAATGATTAACTGTATTGTTTTCTGAAATGATATTGTTTACTGAATGAATGTTTGTCCTATTTTATGAACTATACTCGTGGCATCCATAGCAACTGACTGTTACCGTTACTGTTATTGCTACTGTTACAGATATCTCTGTCAGTTCCTATCCTTGGAACTACTGTTACTGTATTGATGGCCATCAACTGACTGTTCGGTCTATTAAGACCTACTGTTTACTGTACTGTTCTGCTATTGGATGTACCACATATGAATATTATGATTTCTAATTGACTGATATGGCATAAAATATGAGCCACTGATTGAATAACTGAACTACTGATGTAAATGACTATTTTAATTACTGAAAGGACATCCATTCTTAACCCCTTTACACAGTTGTTATTCACTGGGCTTTAGCTCATCGTTTATATATATATATATATATATATATTTATAGGTGAGCGTTCTGGAGGGCAAGTGTAGGAGGGTTTTTACCGAGCCACTGTTTTGAAGCCTACCAAGTGTTTTGGGTGCCTCCGAGTTGGGGCTAGGCCTGGAAAGCTGTTAGTAAGCTTTCGGTTATGTTATACATTTTTTACCCGTACACCTGTTTTTGTATAAGATGTTGTGTTATATGTTATGTAATGTAAGTGGGTAAATTAACACTCTTGCATGTGATTATTTGTTCATATAGATGCACAGCTCATTGGACTATTGGTATGTATTTGTATATTGGGTCTGTAAGCCCCGATTATTTTGATTATACGAGAAGGCCTTTGGTAATCTCGGATTACTGGCCGATTACGATGTTAAACCTATATGGGCAGGTTTGGGTCGTGACACTTTCGGAAGCCGAACAACGTTTCCGGCTTCTTCAAGATCCTAGTGTTGGAGACGAACCTGGCTAGAAACTCTTCGGAGAGCTGCTTCCAGCCATGAATCGATCCAGCAGGGAGTCGATCGAACCATCGAAGTCCGGTTTCTCCCAAGTTGGATGGGAAGACTTTGCACATCAGTGCCTCATCTCGGCTCTATAGAGACATCATCTGTCTGTAATGGCTAATATGTGTCAGCGGGTCCGACTTCTCATCGTACGAAGTAAACTTTGGTGCGGTGAATTTGTTTGGAGGTCTCATCGCCTCAATTTCCGGGGAAAATGGCGAGGAGACGAGCCTATCTAGCGCTCAGTGCTCTCTCTGGTGAATGGTACGATCCAGATGATCCCGATGTTACTCGTTCTGCTTGTTGTCGATCAACCAAGTACGAAGGTCTTGAGGATGGTATTCAGTCTGTTGGCTAACCGTCTTCTGCCTCTTAGCCCTTCTCCGGCATGACCCACGGGTGTGGCTACTCACCGCCTCACTCTGTACCAGGATGGGCTGGCTTTGTTGCCCAGACTCATTTCTGAGGAACTTTTTCACTGGTGGCTCTCTAGATAAGCTCCTCTGTCGTAAGCGAGAGGGCTCTGCTTCAGTCTTCTTTTCCGTTGGATCACCCAGCACCCTTTTTTAAGTTGCGCTTTCAGCTCATGTATCTCCATCCCCATGCAGTCTATGATTCGATCTATGTAATCATTTTCCAGAAGAAAGTGATAAGAAGAACCTCCAGCGAAGGGTAATTAGCGCTCGAAGGATTCAGGGGTCCGGTTATTGTTTCCAGTTTGTTCTTCTAAGACTGTTGGGAGTGCCAAGCCTTTGTCATTCGTCTTCTCCGTCTGTGGAGTATGTGTCGAAGGTGGAATGTCCTCAATCCCCATCATCGGAATTGAGTGTAGAGCTTAGAGATGAAGTGATCCACGCTCACCGCACCAATTACGCGTACCGAATTCCGCACGAGATGAAAGTGGATCGGGGCTCCACACTCGGTTGGACTATCCAGGGACTGAGGTTTCTACCAGAAGAAACATCGTAAGAGCTGCTCGGCTGGGGTTGGCCGGATAACCCCTCTGGTGTGGGAATCAGTGATCGGAGAAAAGATGTAGAGAGTTGAGTTTGTAAGTAAATGGGGCTTTACTTGGAATAGTTCAGTTACCTTTAATGTGAAGTTCATGTAGTATATATAGTGTTCCTTACTTGCTTCTCAAGATGGTTTCATGGAGCTCTGATGCTGCCAGGCTTCCTTTTAGCATTGCCCAAGGTGGGGGACCACCTGATAGTTGTTATAGAATGCATATATTCATTGTAGTCATGCTGATAACAAACTTCATTCTTCTGGTTTAACAGCTTCCGTGATTCTAGGTGTAGGGGACCAGCTGAGGCGGCAACTTGCACATGCATATACTCACAACTTCAACGTTTCTCTGCGAGGTTCCCTCAGCTCGGTACCTTCGCACCCCAGCTCGGCCCTATACAAGGCTTCCGTTGGGATGTGCTGGTCCATTCAAATATCTTAGTGTGGGCTCGGCTCACTTTAGTTCGGCCCATAGATTAGGTCTCGCAGCTCGGCCTAGCCCAGCATCGCGGCTGGGCTAGCCTTTCCACTGCGGGTTGGGCCCAAGTGCTTGAGGACTTGGGTAGACAATTGATCATGGAGTTGGGCTCAATTGGCTTGCCCATATATTCATCTAATCCATTTGGATTTGGGCTTTAATGGATTGGGCCGGCCCAAGGCTTGGATTCGACCCATTTTATATTCAGCCCCTTCAAGCAAGAACTTCGGTTCATCCTATAAGCTGAGTTCTTTAACCAGTCAAGTTATTTAATTTTACTATTCTGTATTAATTGTTTTATTTTTATAGCTATTGAAGAGTTGTAAGAAAACTACTTCAACCCAAACGAAGTTGCGATTAGAGTCGTGCTAAGGTACCGTCACCGAGATTGACGTGAGCTTCTCGATTACGTGCCGAGCTACTGCTACTCAGTTCCTCGTAAAAGTAGAGTCATTGATTTTCTTCGAGCACCATCTTCACCTCTAGATCTAACATTTCTAGACGTGACCCTAATCCAGTTGACTAAGGAACAAGAGATGGCAAAGAGAAGTTGAATCAAGAACCTCATCATTGCCATTTCCATCGAGCTGCTGAGTAAGCCATCGCCTGCACTAACAGTTGGTCAAAGTTTAGGGATCGTGATAGCGTTGGCTTCAACGGTTGATTTGAACGTTGAGTCGCGCAGGGCTGGCAAAAGGGCTTGCTCGGCCGATCCTTTAGTTGAACTGGAGGCCGAGCTTAATGTCGAGCATGCGGCAACCAAAGTTGAGCCAGTTCCTACCTGGCAACCAAAGATGAAATCCCGGGGAAATCCCATCCTGGCCAAAGCTTCTGTGAAGGGGGACAAGGAATATCTCCTTGTTTTCGATCTTTCCAAGTCCCTACTTCTGCCAGAAAACATGGTTGGAACCGAGCATGTACCAGACACCCGAATGGTTAAGTCCGCAGTGAAGTCAATGACTAGGATAAGAGTTTCAAAATTTTTCTAACTATTTGCTCGGTTGATTTCTTGCTTAGGCTAACTTTATTCTGATTTCTTGTAAGCTATCCAAAAAACACACCTTGTTGTGGACCGTGTTACCAGCTTGCAGTAGAAAGTAACCGAGTTGAACGCTGCTAGAAAGAATGTCTCAGCTGAGTTGGGCCGAGCTAAGGCTTCGCTCGAAATCGCGAATGCTGACAACACAAGGCTCCTTGGCCAGCTTGGTATAGCTGAGCAAGAGAGAGATGCCTTGTGGGCCAAGCTGGAGAAGGTGAAAAAGACGAGGGACAAAACTGTGGATGAGGCTAATAACCTCGGCTAAAAAAAGACCGAGGAAAGCTACACAAAGTAGGTCAAAGCCACCAAGGACATCTTTTTCAAGTCCGGTTGGACGGCATCCTGTGAGTAGCTCGGCCAAGGACCTGAAATCGTGGTGTTTACCTCTCCTCCCCCCGCCTCCCTGCCGAACTACATGGTGCCTTATGCTAATGATGTCTTCAACTCTTTACAAGAGGAAGCTGAAGAAGAGGTCGAAAAAGGAGATGGACAGCACGAGGTTGGTCAAAAAGAACTCGGTGATGCAACCGTCATGGTCAACCAGGAGAGCACCGCGGCCGGAGCTGGAGATGAATTTGCCAATCTCTCTCCCCTAGTTTAGCTCAATTTTTTCTATCTTTTGTTTTGAACTCTTGTAATCGGGCTACTTCCCCCGACTTTGTACTTGAACTTTCAATCAATGAAAATCTCAACTTCTTGTCATTTGTAATTTTGTAGTGCATTTCACTTCTAACTTTAGATCGTGCAATATCATCTCGGTTAGAAAGCAAGAGTTGAATAATTCATCAACTCTTCTGGCCGGGCAAAATTATCTCGGCTAGAAGTTTGGAGTTGATCAATTCATCAACTCTTTTAGTCGGGCAAAACCATATCGGCTAAAAGTTTGGAGTTGAATAATTCATCAACTCTTTTAGCCAGGCAAAATCATCCGGCTAAAAATTTGGAGTCGAACAATTCATTAACTCTTTTAGCTGAGCAAAATCATCTCGGCTAAAAACTCAGAGTCAAACAATTCATCAACTCTTTTAGCCGGGCAAAATCATCTTGACAAAAAGTTTGGAGTTGAACAATTCGTTAAATTTTTTAGCCGAACAAAATCATCTCGACTAAAAGTTTGGAGTTGAACAATTCATCAACTCTTTTAGCTGGGCAAATCTCCTCAGCTAAAAGTTTGGAGTAGAACAATTTATCAGCTCTTAGCTGGGCAACTCTTCTCGACTAAAAGCGTAGAGTTTAACAATCCATCAACTCTTTTAGCCAGGCAAGCTCTCATTGGCTAAAAGTTTTGAGTTGAACAATTCATCAACTCTTTTAGCCAGGCAAAA